AAACTCATGCGTCCTTGTCGTCCCAACTGTCTTCGACACAAGCGCGGACTCGCTTCTCGTATTCCCTGCGATTCTCGACGTACAACTGGGCCGCTACACTATTTGCCGGTGAGTTGGGATTAGGTTCATCAAGAAGCGACTGAATGGAAGTCAAAATTGCAAGGACGTCGTAGGTAGGACTCCATGCGTTCGAAAGAATATCCAAGCATATACTACCGTCAGCGTAAACATTGGGATGGAACATTTTTGAAACGAAAACAACGCGAGGCGCCTTGTTAGGGTATTCTTCGGTGAACTCAAGCTTCAGCTTAAATGTGCCATCCTCGAAAGCGGTTTCCTCCGGTCCGAAGATTACGGCGTTCCAAACCATTACATTGTCTGTGGGAGAGCCACATATTCCTGGAGGTGGGTCGTTCTGTAGGCGTTTGAGATCCCGCAGAAGCCGGCGTTGGGCTGGCGTGGACATTCAAACGGGTTGCACTGGAAATGTGTAAAAGATTAAGTAGAAGGTTGATGTCGCCGAAAATACGCGGCCAGGAAACTTTTAGCATTTCACAGGCGTCTACAACTTTAGTATGGCGTAACTTAGCAGTGTAGTGATAACTTGTACATGTGAAAATTCATCCGGGACCTACGTATGATATGTAGCCCTCATATTGGTGACATTGCACCCGAATAGGACTCGCACTTTATCATGAAATCGCTCAATTTTTCTGAACGGTTTGACGAGAAGTTTACCGACATCTTACGGCGTCTTTTGGAATCTCCATTTTTGTCAAATATTCAGTAGGACAAAGGCAATTTTGGACAAATTCAAGAACCGGAAAAATTTCCAAAATGTTTGCCATGGATGCGAGGCTTGAACTAAGGTGTCAGTGACAGGCCTCGTTACCAGCGTGGGAAGCATAAATGCCAATAAAACACTGACAAATAATTGCTGATAACTACCAAGACCGGCCCTAAACTACAGTAGGTGGGCTTACTCATGAAATGTCGACCAAAATCCCGAAATGCGTTTTCGTTTCGAAAAAATTATTTAAGTAGGGTTGTAAAACTGATCATTGTACAGCGTAATTCTATAAAAATTCACTTAACTTAGGATGTCGGCTTTCGAAAGAACCTCTTTCTGGCTGCAAACAACAACCACACTGTAAAAAATGACTACTTAAGTAGCATGCACTTTTCTCGTCGGTTTTCGATTTCCTTAAAAATTCAATTATATTTTAAGGAAAACATGCCTAAAAATATTCATTCTTTCGCTCATTCGGTAGACAATTACGTCGTCTTCCAATTTATACGAGAAGGAAGGGTATAACCAATTCTTCGAAAACTTTTCCGATTCCCGAATAATTTTGAACCCGACATGCCGTTACACTTGCATTCAAGGTTTCCAAACTATAGACCCTATATTTGCTGCGTACGGAAAATCATACATTTATCTACGGTATCAAGAGGAGACTATATGGAAGTCATACAATTTAGCAATGGATTTGAGCCATGTTATTAACTTAACAAGCCACGTTGGTAAAAGCAGAGGCATGACGTTTTATGAACGGCCAAGTCAGGATACTAAAAAAAATCTCACAATTAAAAGCTCTTTGAAAACCGGAGTATACTCTTCCTTCTAGTATAAAATTGAAGGAAGAGGTAATTTTTTACCTAGTGAGTAAAGAAATGAATATTTTTATGCATGTTTTCGATGGAATATGATTGAATTTTTAAGGGCATCGAAAACCAGTGAGAAAATGCATGCTATTCAAGTAGTCATTTTTACAGTCTAGCTTTTGCATAGTCAGAAATAAGTCCTTTTGAAAGCCGGCATCCTGGGGTAACTGAATTATTATAGAACTATGTTGCAGGAAAATTAGTTTTACAACCCCACTTAATTAATCTTTTCAAAACGAGAACGCATTTCGTAATTTCGATCGACATTTCATGAGTTAGTCCACCTACTGTAAATATCAGCACAGGGGGGCCAAGCAACAAGCGACCCAGCACTCAGAGACCGCAGACGAGAACAACTCAAAAATGACACGTTAAAAAGGGATTGCGAAAAAAGCGAAATCGAAATATTGTCTGGCAAAACGGAGAATCAAGAGGAGACTTAATTATTTGAAAAAATATAAAGACAGCTGAAAGTCTTTTGCCACATACTAATATTTCGTTACATTTTGAAATGGTGTCCAAAAAGAATGAAGAAGATTGCATTAACTGTCTTCCTAGGGCGTTATAATTGTTAAGGTATTGCTAGATCCATTGGAATATAGGATTAAAAGAGAGATGGACGTCCACTCCGTTAGCCACCTGCTATGGACTTTCAAACTAGGCTACATGTATTATCACGAAATGGGCTTCACTAATAAAACTGTAATTTAGCTCCAAGATAGAGTTGGACGCCACGGTCTCGCCAAGAGGCACATTGGAATAAATATAGCGACTACGGTTGCACAGGTACACACACAGGTTGCACAGGTAGTACACAGGTTCTAAAAACATATGCTTGGTGCGTATTAGTCCAGTGCACACGACCCTGTTACATAGGTGTTTGTGCAGTACCTTCTCTAGATGATGGCGACGGAGCGAGCCCAAGTCAGCGTTTCTAAACTGTTGTCTGGTTTAAGAATTGAGGCCACAGCTATGTCAAATCTCTGAAGCCTACGAAAATCAGGCCCTGAGCTCGCATCGGTAAGTTGGCGATTTTGTCGATTTTCGTGGGAAAGCAGTAGGGGTTACAGATAGGAGTGGCCTCAGCACTAGCCTAGTTAATAATATTCCTAGTAAAACACGACAATGGACGGTTTAGGACCACTCAGAATATGAGACGCAGTCCGAGGCAACCCAGCTAAGCGATTGTGGCCAAGAATCGATAGTGCTTACATCTTACAAGCACTGAAAAGTCCATTGTCTCGGTAACACGGTCCGTCTCCTTTAAAATGATATACACAAGTATAACATTTATGCTACGCGTGGACGAAACGTCGTGCGGCAATATGTGAGCGAAAGCAGCGAGCTAAGGGTTGGAAAATATGTAAACAGAATTGGTGCATACAAACGCTGAGGCAGACGGCACTGGGAGTGAAAAAAGCACAAGACGCGACAAAAACTAACGCTAATCACTTTTGTGTACAAGAAACACATGTCGTTGAGTACGGAATCTGCAACTCCTGGAGCACTTAGCGTGCGAATGACGAATGGCTTACAGCCAGGAATCAAAGACAATGCTTGCAGGCTTTCGCCAAACGTCAACTCGCTTCTCGAAGATGGACATTTTCAACCAAAATCGCTCTCTGTTCAGCGGCCAAGTGAATTCCGGATAACTGGTTTGGATATAGGAGGCATGTACAGCCATTTATGATGCCCGTGTTAATTTTCCAGTTGACATGACGATCAAAAGGATAAATCCTACAACTTATCTTACATATCTTCATGAAGTCAGTGCACAGTGACCCATACTTAAGGAGAAGGCAGAGCTTCTTGTAACATATGATGGCGGACTGCGGAGTAAGCGCAATAGAACAGGACCCGGCAGCAAACCTCTTCGAGACCATAATATAATGGGCATGATAAGGAAGCAAAACTGGTGGGCAGCATTCAAATAAACGTCTCCGAATTGGGAATAGCCCTGAATACCCCGAGGTCTACCTTAACATTGTTGCGTTAAAAATGTAGTTTCACCCGAGTCATTCGCAGTTCTGGCTAGGGGTTGATCATTTCGCTTAGTACTATGCGTGGTTAAGGACTTATGCCAGAGTTGAGATAATCAGTAAGGAGAGGGGTTTTCATGTATTGGGTGTTGGCTCTTACTAATCAAGTATATGTCAGCCCGAAAGTCTGCTTAGATGGCATTAACACCTACTACTGAACTTACAAATTTGATAACGAAAAGCACATCGCTTGTAATTAGGAGAGTACTGTTTCTAGTAGTCGTGGATTGACAGCTGTGGGAGCAGCCTTACGGACACGTGCATGGGGAGAATTTCAATTCGCGCACATCCAATATCTCAACGAGGCTGACGCTAAGAGTTAACGCCGATATGACCGAGGGAAGCAGTTTCGCAGTCATTACTGTCAACCGTTATGCAAAAGGAGTAACCATGAAATAGCATTAGTCTTAAGTGGTATAGGCCGAACAAATGGGTACATTGAATAAAGTACACGCCGCAATAGTAAGTTGATCCCGACTTATTGCTTGGGTTTAGGAGTAAACAGTGAAGCAATATCCCTGCTGACGGAATATTCTGGTAGTGTTTTTAAGACAAGACAACATCAGGGCTGTCATCGGCCATGGAAGAGCAAGGATGAGTAGAATTTCGGGGTGAGTACACTACGGCTTCCTGGATTAATTCTGGTGTACGTGACGTATCTCTGAGAAATGAAAGGGCCAGATCCACCATCAAACTGTTGCGGACAGACTGGTGGGTGCACGAATAAATTAATATTCCCTTGTCTTACACTGACAAAGGGAGCTTTACGTAGGTAGGACGGCCTTTATGTGAACACAGGGCAAACCCATGCGGACAAAAGCGCTTGATTGACGACACACACCTATTCACACAACTGCAACAATCTTCCACCGTGGCGAGGTCCGACAGTTTGTCTTGGTATACTTTAGCAAGGGGTTCCGCCCTATCATATCGGAGTAGAGATTGTTTCACATAGTCGTCCATCTACAAAACGACGCAAGCATCCTGCCCTTGATGGGGATCCATAGAGCCATCTGGGTAATCGCTCGGAGCAGAAATCTTAGGCAAGTACTGTGAGTGCGGAAGACTCATCGGTGGACAGGGTCGCCCTTAATGAGCGCTAGCGGAGCGCGTTCTTCGTGGCTGCGGCCAAGTAGTTCACGGTCACCCACGTCAGGAAACCAGATGTCTTGGCGGACATATTCTTGCTCTCTGAAATCTTCTATCCACGACATAGGCAAACAGGCCACTTATTTAGGCTAGGCAGTTTCAGTCGGTCCTTTTAACGTTAACAAACTGCTGATATCGTCCAAACGATCAAAATAAACATTATTTTAAGTGGCTCTCTTCAGTTATCCCTACTGTAGTAATGCAAAACCAGATATGGAAAAACGCTCAGCGATTAGGATCGTAATGACAAGTATAGCAGTTCACACCAGGAGGAATGGGGACCTGTAACAGATACTAGTAAGACGCGTAAACGAACCCGCGGTCCCCGTCAATCAGTCACTTAAACAAACCAGTGTGGGATTTGTACTTTTAATCCCGTCAGTTTTGATCAGGATTGTGTGGTCATTTGTCGGACCGTTCTTATCTCCTCTGCAGATATTTATGCGGGATAAACGTAGGCCAAATAATGTTTACAAGTAATCTTTTTTAATTGCAGACCAGTCAGTATGGACGACTTGGGAAGGCGTTAGAAGGTGTGTGCGGAGCGAATTGAGTGGGATATGAAAGTTTAACCTTCGAACACTGAATTACACAAGCAAGGACTTGGCTCTGCGACATAAGTTCATCTGCCGTAATGGACCTAAGTGGCTCTTCACACAGAAATGGGTCTGGCTAGAACTACCCCTGAACTGAGGTCACAGGACACAGCTTTTATTTCGATGAGGTTTAAGTCCCCCAGGCAATCAGCATGAGGTAGACCGTAAGTTGCTTGCTTTTCTTTGCATCAGACCAGAATATATCAGTAAGTTGAATGATCTCCGTGGCATATCTAGCTTTCGACCGTAGGAAAAGTGTGTTCACTTGCACGCGGTAAGCGTGGATGTGTTTTGCTAAAAATAATAGTACTTTCTTGTTCAAGACCCATGGGGGTCCTATGATACCAAGTGAGAATAACCTTTTCATTGATTTTAGAATTTTAAACGAGATACACAGAATTTATACAATACGCACTTCAAACTTATTGAATAAGTAGTATGTTACGAGGAATGTTGAGCGAGCAGCGAAAAAACTCCTAACATTGATTTTGTTTGACACGCGCGCGGTTTGAATTTTGAGGAGCAAGAAGGACATTTTCAATCGAGTTCCTCACTGGAAACAGTTGGTTCTGCATCAAAAACTGGATTCCAAAACGCATTGTTGCCTACTACCCTCAACCTTGCTGTCATCTTTGCCCTCATCGTACGACTAGGACACTTTTCTGCAAACCTGGCGATTCTGCTGGCAATCTGAGCCTAGCCAACACAGCCTACAAATCCTTCATATCGTCTCGAATTGTCCACCGTACCTTTGGAACAGGACCTACTAAAGGCTGAGTCGATAATTTCTACACTGCTTGTTGAGCTGCTTAGATTTGTACTCCTGGCATATTACCAAAATGTCTTAGTTAAAAAGACCTCCAGGCCTTGCATTCTTGAGATTCTCCGACAAACCCAACCATACACACAGTTTTCCCTATTTGGCCCTAGGTGACGTTTTTTTTTCTTCGATTCCTGTGGCCTGCTCCTTTTCCATAACTTCACGGCATGACTGAAGTACGCACTGACGTCCGCAAAATGGGGTCGGAGTGTGGAATCGATCCAGCGATCACCCCTTGCTTAGTCAAGTGCGCTAACCCCTACGCCACCGCAGCACGTCAGCGAGCGATATCACATAGTCTACTTGACTGTATGGACGCAGAAATTGCAGGCCAAAGCTGCAGTGGATGCCAGATTCTAGCCGCCAAGGTCAACTATCTTGAGGAAGAAATCACAAAGATGAAGGCCCAATTGCGATGCAGTCTAGACCACGCTAACGCTACCAATATGCCTACTGGACGAGTAACCAGAAGTAGGGCAAAAGCTCCTAGCATAATAGGCACGTCAGCGCCTATTACAGCGGCCCCAGAAGGAATAGCTAAAAAACGAGAAAATAACGACCAGAAAGGCAACCCAAAAACTGAAGAGAAAAAGAAATTCAACTGTAAAATGGCCGAGGAAAACGGACGGCTACTTCCGGAAGATGCCTCTTTAGCGGCCGAAGCAGAGACATTGACAGATGCTCCGTCCCTCATGACAAATGCTGTGTGTTCAAACACCTTTGCTGACTCTCAGAAACAGTCCGAGCTTGATAGACCTAGTACGAGCGGTGGAATCGATTCATCCATCCCAGCCACAGATTTCTCTCCGCAGTCTTCTCTGCCAAGTACTTCTTCCAAGATTGTCAACATAAGAGTCAAACAAACAGACGGCGTAAGCGCATCTGCTCCACCATCACCAGTGCGTAGTCCCAGAGCGTTACGTCATTTCGGGAACCACAATTCCGTAGAAAATAAAAAGAGACCGACAGAGAACAATGTCTTATTATTCAGGGGCTCCCTGAATCAAGTGCGATTACTCCCAAGGAGCGAATTTCGGAAGACCCATCACTCTTCCAAGGTCTTCTCAATAATATTATGGAACCCACGGAGGCTATTGAAGTAATCAAAGCCTTCTGCCTTGGAAAACGAGCAGATAATCCATCAATGTCCACTCGTCCCCGGCCTATTAAAGTTGTGCTGACCAGCAGCGACCAAGCCAGTCTCATTTACTCCAGGCGATTCAGGATTAAAGGCTCTAACCCAGGTGTTTTTTTTTCAACCGGACTACTCGCCAGCCGAACGGCTCAAACGTCGTCAGCTAGTTCTAGAACTAAGAAAGAGGCTCAGCGAGGGGAGAACAATTTAATAATATACAACAACCAAGTACGGCGGCGTCCGTCACTCTTCCTTTGGACAGGCCCTGTCCGAATGACCGCGCAGCCGACACATTAAGTGAAGGCGCTAACCCAAATGTAACCACATCCTCCGTCAGCCGGAAATTGAAATTCTTGTACACCAACGTGCAGAGTTTGCTATCAAAGTTCGACGAGCTGAAGATCCACCTCTGCGACCTATCCCCTGACGTAATCTCTCTAACAGAAACCTGGTTGACCCAACACGTGGACGACCGTGAGCTGGCCTTGCCTGGCTACCAGATGTTTAGAAGGGATAGGGAAGGGTGTCAGGGAGGAGGCGTACTCACGTATGTAAAAAATAAGCTAAATGTATCAGACAAGACCGATAACTTTTCGTGCAGTTCCGAGGCAATCTGGTTGTCTATTAAAGTGCCGAGCTCGCCTAGCCTCGATGTCCTGACAGTTTATCGACCGCCAAGACGGGACAACATGGCCGACGCTCGCCTGCTGGAGGAGCTTGAAAAGTTCGCTACGCGGCCGGATATCCTAATCATGGGCGACTTTAACGCGCCCCATATTGACTGGAGCTCAACCCATGCAAATAGCTCAGAACAGACCTTCGATAGGAGTTTTCTGAATACGGCACTGAAGCTATTTCTCACTCAACACGTCATGTTACCAACTAGAGTACGCGAAGGCAATCAAGCCAACTGCCTTGATCTTGTCCTTACGAAGTCACGGGACAGCATTGATGAGGTTTCATGCCTACCCCCCTTAGGTAAAAGTGACCACGTCGTTCTTCTATGGGATTACTCGCTTTTTTCCATGCCCAAGAAACCCGGGACAGTAAGAAGAAACCTTTGGCGCGGGGATTTCGACCAAATGAGGGCTGAAATTTCACGCATTGAGTGGGAGTACATATTTGTTGGGAGCATACTCGAAGACTGGCAACGGTTCCGAGAAATTCTGCACGAGCTGATCGTAAACCACTGTCCGCTTTCACGGAAGAGGTTAACGAACAGACCTCGATGGCTTACGCAAGCCTTGAAGAATGAAGTGAATAAAAGACGACGGCTGTGGAAAAAATCACTTTCTGACAGGAGCTCCACATCTATATGCGCGTATAAGTTCAAAGAAATCGAGTCAAGGGTCTTATCCTCAAAACCAGAAAGGAATTCGAACGGGATCTGCTTAACCGTGCCGCGGAGAACCCTAAATTATTCTACGGTTACATTAGGCAGTGCACGCGGAACAAGGACCCAATACCCCTGCTAAGGACTGCTGAAGGCGAACATCTCACTGACGACAGGGCGAAAGCTGATCACCTTTCAGAATTTTTTTCGGTCTGTTTTTAGTAGCGAAACAGGATTCAACCCTTCGGCCCCTCACTCCTTCGAAGACACCCCCATTATAGAGACCGTCCAGTTCACTGAGGGTATGGTTCTGACGGAGTTGCTGAGGCTAAAAGAATCCAAATTACCAGGTCCCGATGAGATTCCGGCGAAGATTTTGAAGGAACTCGCCGGTGAGTTGTCTAAGCCACTCTCCATGCTTTTCCATACTTCCTTCAAGACCGGATATCTGCCACCCGACTGGAAGTCGGCGTGGATTACGCCGCTGTACAAGGGCGGAAGTCGGGTCTCTGCGAACAATTACAGACCGGTCAGCCTCACCTCCATTTGCTGTAAGATTATGGAGAAGATAATAAAGCAACAACTAATGCAGTTCCTTGAACAAAACCATTTGCTTTCCGATTCTCAGCATGGATTCCGAAAAGGCAGATCCTGTGTGACAAACCTGTTCTACTGTCTGGAACACTGGACTAGGGCTGTTGATAGAGGAGATATGGTGCATGCCATCTATATCGACTTTAAAAAGGCCTTCGATAGTGTGCCTCACCACCGCCTTCTATACAAACTTAGCCGTGCAGGAGTGCGAGGTAAGCTTCTGATGTGGATTCGTAGCTTTTTAATCGGCCGCTCTCAAGCCGTCCACGTCGGTGACCAAAAATCTGCCGAGGCTGCCGTTAAGAGTGGTGTTCCCCAAGGCTCTGTTCTTGGCCCTACACTGTTCCTCGTATACGTCAATGACTGCGCAAACGAACTGAATTGCGATGTCGCAATGTTTGCCGATGACATAAAGATCTGGAGTACCATACGAAGCGAAGTTGACGAGGCGCGACTGCAGACTAATCTGGACCACCTCGAGCAATGGTCGAAAGACTGGCTTCTACCGTTTAACGTAAACAAGTGTACTTTCCTTCGCGTCGGCTGAACCAGTTCTCCTAACCACACGGTCTACCGTCTGACTGGCAAACCACTGCAAGAAGTCGACGCCCAGAAGGACTTGGATGTATGGATCACAACCTCGCTTAAGCCTTCGCTGCAATGTTCAAAGGTGGCCAAGTCGGCGATGTCCATGCTATACCCTGTCAAACGGGCGTTCTCCTCCTTTGATAAAGACTGCTTCGCCAAGGTCTTTCAAACTTTTGTGCGACCGCATCTGGAGTTTGCTATCCAAGCATGGCGACCCTGGACCGCTAAAGACTTGGGCATACTCGAACAAGTTCAACGGCGAGCAACGAAACTTGTATCTGGGCGGTGGTCACTACCCTACAAAACACGATTAGCTTATCTTGACCTCTTTTCTTTGAGTTACAGACTGCTACGTGGGGACCTGATACAAGCTTTCCGCATCGTGCGCAATCAGGGTTGCTGCCTCGCGTTTGGAGACTTCTTCGAGTTGGCGACTACGACTAACCTGAGAGGCCATCCACTCAAACTGCGTGTGGCTGGTGCCCGGCAAGACACCCGAAAGTTCTTCTTCTCCAACAGAGTGGTTGCAGCTTGGAATGCCTTGCCTGAGGATGTTGTTATGTCGGGCTCGGTAGATACTTTTAAATGGAGACTAGATCAGCATTGTAGCGCACACCACAATAACGCCGGACTACGGCCACCTTGACAGCCAACGCGGACAATTTAATGTTATAACGGTGCTACTACCAACATGTAAGTAATATATGTTTATGTAATTTATTAAGCTTGGGCCACGTCGAACACCGCTGTTCGCATTCACCACGATGCCTGTAGACTAAACAATTTTACTTCTTTTCCCGTATCTTAAGTGTGCCTCAACTGTCCGCCGCTGTATTTTGATCAACAAAGCAAGTTAATGTGCCTCTAAACTCTGTTAACGCATGACATTCTGTGTTTATCTGTACAGTTTTTGTTATTCCCCTCGCATCTCTTTCATGTTACTTCCTTTCCATTTCCTCCATATATATCCTCTGCATGTAACCAATAGGGATTTCAAAGGAACACACCTACTTTCCCTGAAATATACTGATACTGATACTGAATATTGTAGCAGCCGCTCCAGCCCCCCTTTTCTCCGGCTCCGTTTTGTTGGTCGATGACCGCGATAAGCACTGACAGGCCGCTGACGCACGACCACCCCCGCCAGCTAGAACTGGGACACCTCCGGTCCAGCTGCAGTGAACCCCGGCTGCACTCAAAAACTAGTATCGCCTAACGCGCGTCGAACGATTTGGCTTGATTCCCGTGAGGCCTTGTGAGTATGCGCCCTCCATTCGTCCCGTAATTAGTCCAGTCACACGACCACCACGCAGACAGTCACCCCCTCCTGCTAACTTAGACACACACACTCGCGTTAACAGGACACACCGCGACTGACGCTCTCTGTGAACGGACGCTTTTCTCTGTTGCAAGCAAATCGCCAACTTACGACAACCTACCCTGTGTACAGAATAAACTAGTCCTCACAGCTCCCTGACTTCTGACAGTAGACGAAACGAACTTATTGTGCGTGGTTTAAGTCGATCTTACATCCTTGACCGCCACAATATAAACAAAATGAGCATGAGTGGATTACAACTATAGGAGAAAATAAACTCTCGCTACTTAATATATAAAAAGCAGGCAGGAACGGCCTGTATAGGGCATTGTATAACGGATTTCATGAAGGGGTAAGTAGGCGGGTCAGGCAGGACAGACCTGTATGTGGCCTTGAGTAAAAGATTCGAAACGGGTATCATCAAGGCGGGATTCATATGCCGACTGGGGCCATTCATGTCAAAGTGGCAAATTGAAAACCAGTCTCGAGGCGATAGGAACCCAGACGTGATCGGTTACACTCAGCCGAGTCCATCCGAGGAGGGGGCAAGCGAGACGCGACCAGATTACTAGTGTATGGCGAATACAGAAGGCTTCGAGAAGAGCGTCGATGGAGTGCATTCTGTGAGGGAACGACGCATCAACTGAAAAATTGGAAAAATTAACTTTTCTTGTGAGAGATCTTAGAAAGCGATACTACTCACAAAGAAAGGAAATGTGAGCAGATACGGAAAGACAATGGCGGCGTCCTCAATTCCCGGTGGCCCTTTCTCAGTGTCATAGAGAAAGTTGTCCGGGAAGGATGAGGAACATAAAAGCTTAATCGAGTCAGTATTCAGATTAAGGCGTAACCTTCCCTTAAAGTTGTGCAAATTATCTGACGATCTTATATTTATTCGAAGGTTATTCCGGAGGAAAGTATATCTGAAAGCGAAAAAAAGAGAACGCTTAGAGATGGAGGAAGCTGGAGGTGGTATAACCAACGAAGAGTTACGAAGATTGTATGGGCGACTACTAGGCGTAAGGGCTATAATCCGAGGAAGAATTGAACTATTGATAATGCGAAAGAGGAGACAGAAGCCTGCTTCTAGTCTTCGAACCCATATATATTTTTGGTTTATTAGCTGGCATCTATCTGAGTAGGAGATATTTGGATATTCCCTATCTAAAAGTTTTTTTTAGAAAAACGTCTTTGGACATTTTCATTTTTTAAACGACTAGCTTCATTCATCAAACTAAAGAATGGACAACAATACTCGAGAATGGGAAGTACAAACATACGATAGAGCCTTAATTTAATTTGAGGAAGATAGGGGTTGTAAGAAATAAGGCCACAAATCTGGGCAGCCTTGGCTGTACTTCTGTCAGCGTGTGGCGAGAGATCAAGGTTACTAGTGTAGCTTAAGCCTTAATCCTTGATGGTGGTACATTCAGTCATAGGCGTGCCTTGAAAGACCGCTGGTTGGGGTAGCCCCTCATGTGCGAAACACATATAGCGACATGTACATGGAGAGGATTTCATTAGCCATTTTGAGCTCCAAGCTGAGAGGGCAAGGAAGTCAGCATGGATTTGCTGCAGGCAATGAGGGCTCGTAGATTTATTGAAAGAATATACACATTTGAGATCATCGGCATAAATAAATGATCGAGAATGTTTAACTGCCGCCAAGATATCATTTATGTGAAGCAGGAACAAAAGAGAATCTGAAAGGGTACTTTGTAGGACACCACTTACAATAGGGCTTTCATTGGAAAGTGAAGATCCCACAAAAATCTTTTGTTTGCGATTAGACATATATAACTTGATAAAGTCTAATAGGATACCGCGAATTCCCAGAGCTCCTAAATTATCCAAGAGTCTTTTATGTGACACTTTATCAAAGGCTTTACTCAGATCAAAGTCCACTAGTAGACTTTTCCAGGCCGTACCTGTCTAATCGTAAACAAGGTCAAGGTCAAGCCGCTGGTTTTAAATTTGAAGATAAGTGGAGGATATTATTTTAAGTGGTTTTTCTGTGAGACCTAACGATTTTAGTACCTGTTTTTTGGTTGAATTTCCTTAAATACAGGCCTCTTCTCTCAGAACTGCCTGCTGCCATCTCCTTTTGAGTTCTGCTAGTCTATGCCCGTTGTTCACTAATCGCACTCTACAATACTCATTTTGTGCATCCGATTTCTCTCTAACTGTTGTAATTTATTTTTACATCGTTAGCCCCTAGCTGAAATTCAGTCAACTTGTCTGCCAGAAGTTTTCTTAATCACAAATTGCCTCGAGACAAGATGAGACCAAAAGTCACTGGTCGACGTAAGCTCTCGGCTCTTGTAAGTAAACATGGCCTAACTAAACGTAAGTCAGAAGCTTTACCTAAATCTAAGTCAGATGATATTACTAGTCAGTCGTCACCCGTTGTAATTGGTCGGCAGCTTAATCTGTCTGCACTTGACCACTGCAATGACTTTATGCTAAAGTTCGGCTCTTTGCTGACAATTCTTGGACATTTATTCGACGGAAACATCTCCGATATTCCCTCTGAAGAATGTAGGCGTCTCGACTCACTTGTTCACCTGATCGCGAGTGAATCTAGTGATAGACAGAAGCGTTCTTACAACTTCCTGCTAAAAAATGCTCCTCGATCTGCTCAGCCAATTGATGTTGCGACCAATTTCCTGTATTCATGTGGTTTCAACTATAAAATAGCTGATGCCAAACGCTTGTCCTCCCGTAGTACAAATCCACCCATCTTAGTCAAATTGTTTTCATCAATCGAGGTTGACACAATCTTTACTCATCGAGAGCGTGTCACTGCGTACCTAGAGAAGGCAAAATTTTTCCTTTGTCATGATCTTACTCCTATGGAACGTAGAATCGGGTCTCTATTCTCACGTAAACCCACTGCTTCTCAGTCTCATGCTCCCCAACTCGGTCATAATACAAGTGGCCGTAAGGATTCAACTTCTCCCACTCCTGCGACATCTGACTCCCTCCTTCCTCTTTCTCCTGCATCTCCATCTCACTCAAGCCACTTGACGCATTTGCCTGCCCCTAAACTTGCAGCAGCAGCAGCAGCAGCAGCAGCAGCAGCAGCAGCCCCATTTGTCATTTCGTATCCTCCGGATAGTCCCGCTGAGACACATGAAAATCCGTCTACATCAGCTAGACCGATAACTTCTATTGTCCAACTGGGTGCTGTAAGGTCTACAGCTAAGTCAC